CGACAGTTTTCTAGGCCCAATTTTTTTTTAAATTACTTATTTATTTATTTACTTTAATTTTTGAAGTTAACGATTTATTTTAATTGCTTATATTGTGTTGTCTAATATTTAATTATTATTTGAATTGTTTAATTTTAATGTATATTATGTACTTAAAATTATTTCTTTGAAATGCTTAATATAAATGTTTTATTATTTATCTAAATATTTATTATTTGCCAATTTAGTTTTAATTACTTATTTTATGTTAAGTAATAGTAAAAAAAATTAAAAGAAATAATTAAATATTAAGTAAGTAATATACATAAAGAACTTAAATAAATATTTAAACATCTGTAAAATAATAAATAAGCAATTAAATTAGAAAATTAAATTATCAATCAAATTAAATTTCTGTAAAGCAATTAAAATAAATTTTTAAATATTAAATAAGCAATATGCATAAATAATTAAAAAAAGTATTTAAACATTAATTAAAAATAAATAATTAAATTAAGTGTTAGTAAAATAAGCAATGAAAATATTAAAATAAATGATGAAAATAAGTGTTAGTCAAAAAATTAAATGAAATAATTAAATATTAAATAAGTAACATACATAAAGAATTTAAATAAATATTTAAACATTCGTAAAATAATAAAAATAAGCAATTAAATTAGAAAATTAAAATATCGATCAAATTAATTATTTGCAAAGCATTTAAATAAATATCAATAAAGAATTTAAATAAATATTTAATCATTTTTTATTTTTTACTATTGAATTTAATTGTTTATAAATATTTCATGAATTATGTAAATTGTTTATTTGAGTGAAATAATTAATTATTTTTTATTTCATTTTATTTAAAATATAAATAATGAAATAAATATAATAAACAATTGAATATTCAATAAACAATTAAAATAAATGAGAAATTAATATAAATAATTAAATGAAGTAAATAAAAATGAAATAAACTATTAAAATAAGTAATTAAATATTAAACAAACAATATACATAACCAATTAAAGTAATTAATGAGATATTTAAATTAAATATTTAATAATTAATTTAATAAATCAAATAATACTTTAATTGTTTATGCGTATTATTTGTTTAATATATAATTATTCATTTTATACTTTATTTGTTTATTTTAATATTTCACGAATTATGTTAATTTATTAAGTATATTGTTTATTTAAATAAAAATAAATAAGTAATTGAAATAAATTAAATAAATATTAATAAAATAATTAAAATAATGAACTGAAATAATAAATAACTAATTGAAACAAATTCAATAAACAAGTAACTTAAATGTTAATTAAGCAATAAAAATAATTAATTAACATAAATAACAAATAAATATAAATAATAAAAACTAGTTTAAATATGTAATTAAATATTAAATAAACAATTGAAATAAATAATTAGAATTTAAATATTAAATAAACATTTTAAATGAACAATAAATATAAAAAAAGTAATTTAAATAAGTAATTAAATATTAAAAAATTTAAATAAACAATTAAAATAAATAATTAACGTTTAAGTATTAAATAAATAATTTAAACGAACCATAAGTATAGATAATAAAAATAGGTAATTAAATATTAAATAAACAATTGAAATAAATAATTAACATTCAAAATAAACAATTAGACATTCAATTATCAATTAAAATAATTATTAAATAAACAACCAAACAATTAAAATAAATAATTTAAATACAGATTTAAATATTGAATAAATAATTTAAATAATTAATTAACAATTAAATATTCAATAAACAATTTAAACAAATAGTTAACAATTAAATATTTAATACACAATTTAAATAAGTAAATAAACTATTTAATTTTCAAATATTATGCTCTATCTATTGTCTCTTATGCAAGGTTCAAATATTTTAAAATTTACAAGATGAATTACCATTTGGACGTCGCTATGAGACAGATTCCCGACAAAGTTACGTCGAACTATAATTTTGTCAGCTTAGCATTAGATCTAGATTTGTTGGATAAGGAGTGCGCAGACCTGTTACACCGATCCTACTTATGACGGTAACTTTGGCACGGTTAGGAGATGCGTTCAATGAATGCGACGATATATTTGACAAGTTGAAGTTGGGGATTTTTATACTAGAGAGCATACTGAGGTGTCATCACAATAAGACGTCGTTCGACGTCTTTCATTTGGATGTTGTTGATGACATTGACACATTCAACAACTATCCATAGAGACAAAGCTCACAGTTATCAGCTCTCCTCAACGATCTTGAGGTACGTATTATTCATTTGTGATTTAAGTTGTATGTCATTTCGAAATCTCGATGCATGCATGGTCATTAACTCGGTGAAATGTTAATATGTCAGCTTGAATTGCTCGCTGAACTGACACCGTTGATCAAAGAGGAGGGTCGAAGTCATATCTGAGGAGATACGGTCTGCAGGCGATAAGGGTCCCAGATAGTGACAGAGAATAGCGAAGATGGTGATAGGGAGAGTGGCGATAGAGGGGTGAGGATGTACACAGATGTTTCATCAGAATCATTATGAATGTCAGTGGAGATGGAAGAGGTGCCGATCGTAGGGACGAAATAATTGTAAATATTTTTTTATTTATGAAATAATTGTATATATATTGTAAAATTTATTTAAATAAGGTAATGAAATATTAGATACATACTATACACAACCAATTAAGATAATTTATAAATAAAATATCTAAATAAGAAATTAAATTAAATATTAATTTTTTTATTTTATTAAGTGATTAAATAAATAATTAAACAACTTAATAAATATTAAATAAATAATATACATAACTATACTGAAGAGGACCCCCAACTTGACAGATAACATCACGAGTTTGGATGACACCCTGTACGAAACATATTATTGACGTGCCAGAATAAATGGTTAGTAAGAGGACTAGATTGCTGTCACAATACATTGTTTCACCGTACACGATCGAGGCAAAGTAGAGAACATCTGTTGACAGTACGTTGTCCAACCACTTCCGTGAAATTTACCCGGGTGATTGTGAAATCTTCGCATTGAAGTTAGGACCGTAAATGGATCGGATCTGCTCAAATCCGATCCGATCCGTTAATAATAATTATCCTATTCTATCCGATCCGATTCAATAATCTGACGGATATTTGAATGTTAAATCCATATCTGATTAACTATGTTATTGGATATCCGATTCGAAATTGAAAAAATTAGATAAATAAAGATTTTATTTATTTATCAGATTAGATTGACCTATATCCATATTTGATTTATTTAGTTAACGAATTATCGGATTTGAATCTCGATTGGGTTATCGAATTGAGACCCTAAATCCATCTCCCATTAATTTCATCAGATTCAGATCAAAATCCAATCTATTGAAATATATTGAATTTTTAGCATCAGACGTGACGTAGAGCTGATAAACCAAACACACATTAAAATGTAAGCTTTTTTTTTTTTTTTTATTACATTGTGATCCATAGTTTTAATAATTTAAAACGTAAACTTTTTTTTTAAAACGTTTATAATACTTTTGTTTTTATGTAATTGTATAATAAATAATCAATTATTCTTAATTACATATATAACACACTATAAATAAAGAAAATTGAGGAAATCAGTGACATATTATAAATAAAGAGTACATACAATTTAAGTAGATATTACATATTCATCAGGTCAATTTTCACGTAATCAATAACATACTATAAATTAAGAAAATTGAGGAAACCAATAATATGCTATAAATAGAGAGTACATGCGGTTTAAATAGATACTACACATCTGTTGGGTACAGAGTAACATACTATAATCGAGAACTTCCCACTTGACTTCATTTAGTAGAAGAAATATATTTTCGACATTCTTGAATAATGTTCGATGTTTTGAAAATGTGATCGTGCCTAATATTTGACTTCCATCTCTGTTAGATATTCTCATGCATCATGTAATTTATGTTCTAGTTAAATATTAAATAAATAATATATGTAACCAATTAAGATAATTAATTAATGAGATATTTAAAGAATAAATTAAATTTAGTATTAATTTTGTATTCGAATAAGTGATTAAATAAATAATTAATTAAAGTAAAGAAATATTAAATAAACAATGTACATAACGAATTAAGATAATTAATTAATGAAATATTTAAAGAAGAAATTAAATTAAATATTAATTTTTATTTGAATAGGTTTTAAAATAAATAATTGAATAAAGTAATTAAATATACATAACCAATTAACATAATTAATAAAGAAATATTTAAACGAGAAATCAAATTCGATATTGGATAATTCTACATATACTAATTTATAAGAATGTCCATAATGTATATGTGAAATTTTATGAGTAAAGGATCGAAAAACTGTTTTTCAACTTTTCAATAATATTATGACACTTGTACATTATGGTATAATGTTTTTATTTAAACAAGCAATTAAAATAAAGTAATTAAATATTAATGACTAATAATATACATAACCAATTAAGCTAATTAATTATTGAAATATTTAAATAATTAATTAATATTTAAAAATTAATTTTTTAGTCAAATAAGTGATTAAAATAATAATTAAATAAGGTAATGGAATATTAAATACATAATATACACAATTAATTAAGATAATTTATAAATGAAATATCTAATATTAAATAAATAATATATATAACCGATTAAGATAATTAATTAATGAAATATTTAAACAAGAAAGTAAATTTAATATTAATTTTTTTAATTTGGGTAATTGTTTAAAATAAATAATTAAATATAAAGTGAAAAGTGTTTGATTTTTTAATTTGTAACTTAAGGGTATTTTTGTCTTTTGAAATAAAATTCTATTTTTGTAATTGTATAAACTATTTAAGAGCATTTTTATCTTTTACTCAATAAAAGGCCATTTTGATTATAGACAAACTTTTTTTGGTTATAGTGAAAAATTGTCTGTTTGACTAAGCCAAACTAAAAATTACCCCAGTTGGAAACAGGGTTACAGGAATCCGTATTGGCTAATATGGATCTCGGGTATGATTAAGCCTACGCCATTCAAGGGCTTCAATGGTGGTGATCGGGAAATCACAGTGAAAATGGAAAATCAGCAAAAGGAGAAGAGTTCTGCAAAGTATAGCATAATAGTGCCCACCTACAATGAACGCCTCAACATCGCTCTTATTGTTTACCTCATCTTCAAGCATCTTTCGTACGTACTCTCTCTCTCTCTCTCTCTCTCTCTCTCTCTCTCTCTCTACATGTTTGTGTTTGATTCCGACTAAAGAAATTGAGTTTTTTTATTCCCTAACCTCTATCGTTAGATTTCTTTTACGGAGTGTAGAATTGAAATTGCTTTGAGCGATTTTGTGTGCGTGTTTTTTATTCCAAATAAAGACTATGGTTTTTTTTTTTGGCTATTTTTTAAATGGTAGAGCAGAATTGATATTGCTGTTAGCGATTTGAAGGTACAGGGAAGTGCTAATTTTCTGAATCACAATGAGTATTTTTCTAGTGCATTAGTAGATGTAATTCTTCTTTGTTTAAGTGCGGAAGAAAGTATCAGATCATTGGTTTTGGAGCATTTGTTAAATTTATGTTTAATCATAATTCCCGGCCTTCTTGTTGCTTTGAAGGATGTAGATCATCAAGATAGTGTTTGAATATCATTTGGTTTGGATGATACATAATGATTATGTTGGTGAAAACAATTGTGAGAACCGGACTTAAAGGATCAATTTTTGTAAACTTTATAGATAGTAATTTATTAGGGTTGATGTTCTAATAAATAATTCAGCAAAAAGTCTGATTGCGTTGAATTTACATGGAAAGAAAATAAATTATTTGCCTAAAACTTATTTGCACTAAAGTTGTTAATTAAATGTGTTTGATTGATTTAATTTTCAACTTTGAAAATATTATATTTGTCCATTTTTTATTGATGGGTGGACGCGAGAGAGAGAAGAGGTATCAGAGAGAGAAAGAGAGGGAATTATCTGGAAAATTAAAACATACTCCCCCTAAAGAAAATATTTTACTTGTTTTCAAGGAAAATATAGTCATGTGATCAAAAGTAGGAAAATGTTTTCCATAAAAAAAATATTAACCAAACATACGAAAGTAGAAATTTGGGGAGGAAAAATGACATGTTCCATGAAAAATATTGGCAATCAAATGCACCATTATAGGTTTCTAATTATATATCAGGTAAAAAAACTAAAGTAAATGGGGCCTCATAATGTATGTGATCTCTTGGTTCACGTATGGTCGCATATTTTCTTGGTAATGGCTGTTGACAGTTTGATCACCTTGTCATGGTTGCTTGATTTTTAACAAGTGTTTTGAAACCCATTTTGGGCATTCTTTATTCTATTTTTTTGGTTTCATTGTGAAAATATATTTCTGTTTACTATTCCTTTCAAACTGTTGCAAAATGTGAATACCGTATCTCCAAGTAGTTGCTCGCAGAATATAATTCTATGGTCTTCATCTGCCTTTAAATGATGAACAATGTTTAATTAAGTGAATCTACGATGTCAATATTCTTCTAACATAAAAGCAATGTTCAATGAAGTGAAAGCCTACTGTAGGTTACATTGATTTGTGCTAGTGCTAGTCTCTCGTTCGAGAATTTGGAAGTCTCTTACTTGTAGGCCATCTGTGTGGTGCCATGGACTGGTGGTTATTCATTTCCTGTGCATTTTTGGTATTTGTTAACAAAATTATTCGGAGGAGAGGGATTAAAGCATGTGAAAATAGATTATTAAACATGTGTTTCAGACACTGGACTTGGTCAGTATTGTAACTTATATTTGCTGTCTGATCAGGGATATTGACTTTGAAATAATAGTAGTAGATGATGGGAGTCCTGATGGAACTCAGGATATTGTCAAGCAATTGCAGCAAGTATATGGAGAAGATTGCATTGTAAGTTTTGAAAAATTAAATCTGTCTTTATTGTTGAATGTGATGATCTGCAATTTTAGCTCTACGCTTTCTTCTTTACTCGGATTTTTCTTCTACTGCAGCTGTTGAGGCCCAGACCTAAGAAGCTTGGCTTAGGTTTGTATTTAGGGCTTTCTATATTTTTGAATGATAAATATGAAGTGCTCCTAAAAGTTGTATTTATTTCAGGGACTGCTTATATGCATGGTCTGAAGCATGCCTCTGGCAATTTTGTTGTTATAATGGATGCTGATTTATCACACCATGTAAGTTTGTATCATCAAATGCTAAAGGAAAGGATTTCTTCTTCATGATATTTAACACTCTGAAGATGTATCTTTAATCTATGATGTGACCAGGGGTTTTCTCATGCTCATGATTTTAGCTCAAGTGCAACATCCTGTTTGCTTTGTCGCTTTCTTCTAAAAATGATAAATGATAAAAAGATTCTGCAATCCTATTTCAATATATATCATGCTAGAAATTCATAGCTTGAATGAAAGAAAAATTTGTCCCAGATTAATACTGTTTAAGATGACTAGATGATTAGCCTATGGCATAGCATAATTCAGTTGAACTTTTAGATAGTCTTTGTGCATTTGCTTAGCTGCTTTACTTTTGTTCATTCTGTAGCATTTATTTTTATTTTAATTAATATAATTGTTGTTTGTTTCTTTTTCATGTTCGTGCGTAGCCCAAATACCTGCCGAGCTTCATCAAGTAAGAATCATTATGGAAAACGTTTTGATCTTTGTATTCTAAATATGTTTACTACCTGAAAACTTCTTGAGTTCAGGAAACAGATGGAAACGGGCGCTAGCATAGTCACTGGAACTCGTTATGTTAAAGGTGGTGGTGTGCATGGGTGGAATCTTATGCGTAAATTGACGAGCAGAGGAGCAAATGTCCTTGCACAGACTTTTCTTTGGCCTGGTGTATCAGACTTAACTGGATCGTTTCGGTATAATCAAATCTATTTCAATAACAATTAATTTCTTTGTACTTCACCTACAAGCTTTTGACTATTATTGTTGGTTTTGAAGTCTTTATCGTAAATCCGTGCTTGAAGATGTCATAAGCTCTTGTGTAAGTAAAGGGTATGTTTTCCAGATGGAGATGATTGTTCGGGCTTCAAGAAAGGGTTACCACATAGAAGAGGTAGTTGAGATGTGAAATCTACATATTTTGATAAGGTTCTCTATATGTATGCTAAAATTTTCATTTTGTTTTGACTTCAATTTGAATTAGCTAGTCCTCATTGGAGTTGATTGTGAAAACGGTAGGTAATTTTGTGAGAATGAGTGGACTTCAAAGTGCTGCTTGGAAATAAATGGTGTTTCAACAAAACTAGATCAGAAGAACTTGCTGTTAAAAAATAATCAATGTAACCAAGCTCAAGATTGGAGAAATCTGTTTGAAGCTCTCAATCATTTGATGATTTTAAATTGTATTGATAAATTTAATATTTGATTGGTTTAAAGTGAAACATTTAATTATTTTTAAGCCCCTGTTTGTTTTTCATTCTTTTTCCATTAAAATTAAAAATATGACCGTTATCCATCACATTAAGCAATCTAATTTGAATTTCTATCTCTTGCGTGGGATCCATAACGGCTATATTTTTCATTCTTATTTTTAAAAAAATGGGAAACAAACACCCCCTAAATATTAATATCCTTTTGGTAATAATGCCCAAATTCGAACTGCAGTCTTAACTCAATATTTCAAAACTGGAGACGGTTGGAGCCTCAATATCCTAGTCTCGGTCTAGCAGGAACTCTAAAAGTTTGTATATATAGCTCAGCTCTGCTTGGCGCAATCCTACTATAGCCCTGGATTATTATACAAAGCTTGTGGTGTTATTCCCTATGCAGTCCTTAACTATTGTTGGCATGCATATCATATTACTTTATTTTTTATTTCGTCATTGATTGCCATTCTTTAAGTGCTCATTAAGCATAAATCCTATTCTGATGGACAAAAATACTAATGTTAGCTAGCTTTTGATGATTGTATTTCCCAGCCACGACTGAAGTTGGATTTTGAATACTTTGCTAGTTGTTACATGACTTCTTACCTTTTTGATATCCCTCTACAGCCGTCTTTATGATGGAAACAGAATGAAGGTTTAATATTGTCTGCATTTTAATGCCATGTAAACAATTTTCATGTGGTAGCGCTAGGATAATATTTGAACAACGATCTGACTACAAAATAGAATTGTGTGTTACATTTTCGAGTGCTTAAGCATCTCTCTTGGGATTTTGGTTTATGATTTTCAATAAGGATTGCAATTGTGTATTATCGTTGGTGAAAATATTTAAGCTTGATTTCTAATTTTGGTTTTTACTTATTGATAGGTTCCAATAACTTTTGTTGATAGAGTGTATGGAAGCTCAAAGCTGGGAGGATCAGAAATAGTTGAATATTTGAAGGGACTTCTGTACCTTCTCTTTACGACTTGAAAATGATCTCGATCACGATAGATCTTCACAATTAGCAGCTGTCATTTATCGTTAAAAGTTATATTAGACGAGTCTCTACATAGAGCTTCATCGACATCACATCACATCACATTTGATTGATTTTAACTTGTTTAATACTTTATGGGAGTCGAACAATATTTTTGTTTCTAATTTTTCGACACTAGTAGTTTTGACGACTTCATTCGAATTTTGGCTCGTAGACACCACGTTGATGGACCTCTGTATTTACGCCCTGTCCCTATTTTACATGATCACAATTTGCAGATGAATTTTTTGCCGTCAGAGCGTATTTTTCTTTCTTGTTTTTAGTTTTCTTTATTTGAATGTGAAGATACAATTTTTTTAGTTCCCTTGTATTCAACACGTGTACTTAGAAATGAAAAATGATACCCTACAAATATGAAGTGTTAAGGAGTATTTGATGAGTTGGACTGAAGAATAGTGTACAAGTAAAGGTTGAATATATTTTTCCAAATAACTTAATTCTTATAAGGGTAAGACTGCATAGAAATTTTTCTATGCCACTGACGTGAGTAAAGTCAAAGCAATGGTAGTATTTATATCATTCGTGGGCATGACTAACTCTTTAACATCTCATTTATAATGTCTTTGAAAATGAGCGAGCACAATAACGAATAAACGTGTTAGGGGCCTTTGATTTTCACTCATGTTTAACACTAATAACATGCAAAACATATCGAGTTACATGCCACAAACGAACATCATCTGTTTTGCTTATGGAATATGTGCAAAATTGAGTATTTTCCACCAACAACATATCCTACAGTACGTTCAATCAACAATAATTGAATAGTAGCAGTACACATTTAGAGTTTGTTTGTCTCCCATTACGGGAGAAATTATAGAGTTTTGAACAGTATTTTTTGGAGAATGTGTAGTTAAAATTTAAAGAAATTTTATTGATTTGTGTGTAGAATATTTTATTGTATGAATGTGTGGTAGAAAATATTACTGTAAACAATTAAGCCCCTGCTTGGTGCTGATTTTTCAAACCAAAAAATCAATTTGTTAACCGTTATGTGGTGCAGTCTGCCGTCTTTTTTGACATTTTCACTCATAGATGGGACCGACCTTTCAAACTAACAGTCAAAAATTGATTTTCAAAATCAGCACTAAACATGTCCTTAATTTTAAAGGAGGACAAACGATGGCTTAAATTCCAAAAAGAACCCACAAATCATAAATGTTCAGGCTATGATATGAGCCACATAGGCTCAATTTCCACAAATTCATTTAGCAAAACATCCTGAAGTTCCTTCAACATTTTTGAGCTCTATAAAAGGACCCGACACAACCCCCCCTGCACTAAGCTCAAAAAGTTAATAGGTCGAAGCATGAGGTCATCGGTCTCTTTCTTTCAAACTCGCCCTCCGTATGAGGATGGTAAAATGCTTCAGCCAATTAACTATGTTGGGTTATTTCCTCCTAAGAGGAGGAAAGCCCATGTTTGGAATCTTATATTATAGCCCAAAGTTCATCAGGGTTTTAACTTTAATGATGAATAGAAATACAAGAAGATTGAAGAAAATAGGAGTCCAATCTATTTTTGAAAAGAGATAAAAAACGGTTTTTTCCTTATGCCCAGATTTCATCAAAGCTCGGATCCTGGGTCGTCTGTCGTCTGATCGAGCTGAAATTTGGAGAAAAGGTTCGCAAAACATAGGGTACAATCAGACGGTGGAGATCGGATTTTGAGTTTGGGAACATTGGTTAATGTGCTTGAACAATAACCAAATGTTTGAGTGTATTCTTCTTATTTTCATATTGTTTTATCGAGATTGTTGTTATTTTGAAGAAATATACGTTGTAGCCTCTAGTTGTGATTATAGAAAACTTGGTGTACCCATTATTTAATTGATAGTGGAGATTTTGACCTGATTGGGTCCCATGATTTTTATTCCTCACATCGGGGAAGTTTTTTCACGTAAAATAATTATTCGTGTTTTTGTGGTTTGATGTGATTGATTCTCTCTAGAATATTTTCAGCATATACAATTGTCAAAAATGATGTTTTACTTATTCATTTTTGGGAGAAGAATTATTCCGTTGTTTGTCTATTTGTTTGCATCTCTCCATAAAATTTAATCATATTATTTTACTCAAATTTGCACAAACTCTATTCGTTAAAGTTTAAAATTCTTTATTATTAAAAACCCTATTTTCTCAACACATTTTCTAGAATTCACAACTTTTACCTATTTTTAAATACACATTTCACGAACTCATTCCTCATAAACAATTATAAGCTTTAGCAAACATGCGGCTTAATAAAAATTGAGAAAATGACTATCCATTAACTGGGAGAAGTAATTAAATTCTAAAATAAGACAAGACGGCGACGACAATTATGAAATTAAGAACGATTGCCATTATTCAAAACTTGATCATTTCAAAATTGTCTTAGGATTGGAAATCCAAATTGCCTTGTTCAACTTCAACAATAACTTCGAAATGTGCCAATATTAATAATAGTTACCCGTATACGAGCTCAAGTAAAATTCTTTCATCGATTGAGAATAAATTCAAATATTATTTAGGCTGTAAAAATATAATACCATATGTACTTCAAGTAACTATACTAAAGTTTAACTTGTTTACCCTTCTAACTATAACCTCGGTTAGCCCCTATTATGAGATATTTGAAAGTGCGATTTACTAATCAATTATGTCAAGGGAAGTTCTACACATACAGAATTTGGCTTTCAGAATTTATTCAAAAGACACTTCGAAGCAATCTGTCAGATAATAGCGAAAACAAAAGGCAGATCAAACCAAATGCTGCCACACCTGCATCTAGTGCAATTATGTGGAAGTATTTTTTTTTTTTTTTATACAAGCAGATTAAATCAAATATCAAATGCCAGACATGATCTAGTAATTATTCCTCTTGAATCTACTCATCTCAAAAAATTGGTCATAATTCCTAAATAACAGGAATGATTTCATAAGCACCAATGTTTAGTTTAAGTTAAATATTGATGACATTGCACATCACTTAATTGACGAATCATTAAAAACATGAGACCTATGATTAACTTGTTCACCAATTAAATAGTGTGCTGTGTCACCGGTGCTTAACATAAGTTAAGCACCGATATTTAGGAGATCATTTCCGTCCTAAATAAACAAGGCCACGTAATTAACCAAACCTTTTGTTTCTCGTACCAAACAAAGAGATAAGTTAACAAAAAGTACTCTTACAACAAAAATCTATGAAAGGCTTGGACCAAGTAGATGAAAAAATTATCGTCTTCCATATGGTACCCATAGCCATATCTCTTATTTTGTAAAGACCCAGAAGCTAAAAACATCAAAAAGTTGAATGAAACCATGAATATTATATTTTATAATTTTGAAAGTTTGAAAACTTCAACAGCAATTTCCTCGACCTGACACGGATTGAAATATATATCACAAGGTTATAAATTGTAGAGGTATGAAATTTAGAATTATTTTATATTTTTTAACAAAAATTAGAATAATATAAGGTTATATAATATCATTTCTCTTTGTCTTCATCTAATTTAAGAAAGCGACTTAAACGGAATTTTATCATATTATAATTGAATGCTCAAATAGTCCAAAATCCATTATCACAAAAATTGGAAAGTTTATGACCCATTTTCCCACATGGGGGAGGCTTTTTTGTGATAATATATCAAGTTAATTGCCTCAATGGTTACTGAACTTATTTATATGTCTTCGATTGCTAATTAATCATTGGACGTTACTAAATTTATCAAAACGTTGGAGGTTTTTCATTACTTTAACGTCTGTTCTAATTTCGCACCCTGTCAAAACATTTTCGATTACTCATTAAATTTTGAAAAAACATCTTCGATTGCTCACTGAACTTTGAGGTGGTCAAATTTTGGTTACTAAATTTATAAAAATGACTTCAACCTATTGTTAATAAAAATAAAATAAAAAATGTAGCGCAATCGTAAGGGTCGCGTAAAAGTAATAAAGTGAACAAACAAATTCGAATGTCGATTCCACAAGAAATTATTACTCAATTATGCAATAGTTAAATTTAATGTTGATATATTTTATAGAATTTTAACCTATTTTCATCATTTGAAAAATTCAAATTTATTGTGTGTTTCGTTGTAAAATTAAATTAATATTTGAATTTTGCAATCGAAACACAATAAATTTAATTAAATGCGTTTCATTCACTTTTGGTCCATCCGAGAAATGGATTGTATTTCTTTGTGAAAATTTAAATTTAAATTAAATTTATTGTGTGTTTGATTGCAAAATCTAAATATTATTATAATTTTAACAATGAAACATACAATAAATTCAAAATTTTCAAATGATGAAAATAGATTAAAAATTCTACAAAAATATTAAAAATTAAATTTAACTATTATGTAATTGAGTAATCATTGCTTTATTGGGATCAACAATCTGGACTCGTTTGTCCACTTTATTACTTTTATCCAACCCGTGCAATTGCACTGCATATTTTTAGCAAGCAATAAGTCGACGTCATTTTTATAAGTATAGAGGTTAAAATTCGACCACCTCAAAACTCAGTGAGTAGTCGAAAATATTTTTCAAAATTTAGTGAGCAATTGAAGACATTTTTCAAAGTTTGGTAAGCTATTGATAACATAACAATTTGTTAACAACGGACAAGACGTCACATGTACATTTCGTTAACTACGTCACTAATTCAGTTAAAGAATTGATACAAATCTTAAAACAATGAGTAACGTCCAACGTTTTGATAAATTTAATGGTCAAAACTCAACTTATTAAAATTTAGTGAGTAATCAAAGATATAGGCATAAATTCAGTAACTATTGGGACAATTAACCCTAATGTGTCCAATAACGTCGTCCTCTGGGAAATTGACATAAATGGTCCCTAGCCTATAATTATTGACGTAAAACATCTTTAACATTCCACTTTATGCCTGCATTTGAGTTTTTTAATGATTTTTGTCCCACTAATGGTTAAAAAGTCAAAATTTTGATGCAACGAGTAAAATTCCTTTATTCTTAGGGGAAATGAAAAATGTACATAATATTATCTAAAATAAGTAAGAAAGAAAAAAAGTCAACATTGTAAAAAAAGTCGTGGAGGTTACATAGGGATATCTTCTCCTCAATGCAATCATGAATTATTAGAAAATAATGCCATATAAGTAAAATAGAATATATAAAAAAAAAATTCTCTTCAATGCAAGTTGTTATCAGTGACTATGTGACAAAGAAATGTAGATATTTTTTAGAACTTCATCGAGATTCAAA